GTGGAGAGACTATATGTGCGGACACCGACCAACTGCCGGCGCTCTGACCAAATATAGTGATCTGATCTTTGTCTCCACCAAATAAATGTATGTTATCTCTAACCTATAATTAATTATAGCATTAATTTATACTTTTTTGTAAATAACCTTGATTATAACGTTTTAAATACCCATTTAAGTGCCAATAACTGGTCATAAAGGCCCACATTTCCGGGGGTATCCTCCCGATCCCCATATAAGAAGCCAAACGGACCTAATCTATAGTTTGTGGCCACGAGTATGACATCATTAGTAGTCAAAACACTGCCGTTATAGTCGGCCATAAATATTGAGCCCCCGATCAGACCCCCTCCGTGTATCCAAAACATGACTGGTTTAAGTGGTAAGCCTTTCATTGATCTGTTAATTCTCGTATGTGGTGTCCATATGTTTAGTACCAAACAGTCCTCACTTTGGATGAGATTGAGCTCAGAGTTAATGACAGTATTGAACACATCCAGTGTAGGACTTGATTTTGCAAACTCAGTTTGCAAACAAGAGTTCCCGGGTGCTGTTGCATCTATTATTTCCTGAACATAATATATTAATTGTTATTTTATATAATTTATAACAAAATTATTAAAATCTTACTTTCGATGGCTGTTTAATGGGTACTGGTTTAGCAAACCTAAGCGCACCGACCGGTGGTTCGGCATAAGGTATACCCAAAAACTGGTCAACACTTGTGTTCAACACATCTATAGTGAGACCTCTCACTACACCTGATGTCGTGTTCACATCAATACTATTTGCAAATCCAACACAAAATATTATACTAACAAAATAAGTAAATAAATTTAATGTAAACATTATTTCACTTAAATTGTATTTATTTAATTTTAAAAACAGTTAAAATATAGTTACTTTAGTACTACAAATAACTTTCGATCATTTATATACAATACAGTCTGAAATTTCATAATATAATAAACTTTCATTTATTATATCTTTGATATTAATTGCTTGATAATATAATATATAGTATTGTATAGATTTAGAATTAATCATGAAATTTTTGTATTATCGAAAAAAAACTTATTTGTCAATTAATTCAGGTTGTGTACTCATACACTTACATTATTACATTTTTAGAAACCTTTGATTTGATTATTGATATTTACCTGTTCACATTTTACTCTTATTGATAATATTAAAAGTGCATTAGGTTCTAAGTTATGAAATTATATTTTCACATTACACATTATTTTAATTTATATTTCAAGTCTTGGTTAAATTCATTTTTTGTTTTTTTCTTGTAATTTATTTTCTTAAATTTAATTTTTATTTTATATAAGTTTATTAAATTTTCTTTTCAATTAAATAAATCATTTGATTAAATAATTGAAATAAATCAATTTATTAATATAATGTTACTAAATGTCATGCTTGCTTTTTTAAATAATTAATAAAAACAATAAAAATAAGTTTATATTGTAGCTTCTTTTAACTTATAAGCAGGTACAGTGGTTTGTATTACATTATTAATTGTAAATTACAAATAATAGTCTTTCCAAAAGCCATCACAAGTGGTGTGAAAGGGATTATCCAATACTCGACTCATATTCCGTGGATTCAAATCACGGACTGAAATCTCATTATTATCTAATAGTTTAGGCCATATTTTATCCGGGTTACTGAATTAACAAAACAAATATATTGTAAAAATATCTAATACAATAATAAAACAATTAGTTTATACCCTGTTTTAGCAAAATTAGTCCACATTTTCATGAGTTCTTGACTAAAAAATATTTCCTCGCGTGTAAAATGCTCGGGGATTATGAAAGGTATGCCAAATACAAACGGCACGTCCGCGCTATGACATACCATACCGGGCCGACAGCCGGTGACATTAGCCACAAATTCACTCTCAAATGTCAACTCATATAAGTAGACATTCTTGTTACTAGCATTTTGTACTTGTACACTTTTAGCAAATTGTTTGGCAAACAAGTAAGTGGGACATTTGAATAGCAAATCGCTGATAAACTCATCAAACGCCTGTTCAATAGCACCGGGATCTTCGGCGTCAACATTCTTGAGATAAAATTGTGTCACATTTTCGGCGTCCAAACCGTGATATATATGATTGGTTTCGGTAACCAATTCCTTGAAGCCGTCGACCGTTATATTCTTGATATGATGGAAGATATGCGATGAGATACCTGAGCCCTCGTCCGATGTCACGCCCGCCAGTAAATCAATATCTATTCGAAAGCAATAATTTTTAATCAAAATTGATTTTCTAAAAAGTTTAACAGTTTTTTACCGGAACTAAAATTTTTGGTCTCAAAAGCCTTTTGTTCAGAAATGGGCAGAAATTCCGTGCCTTCGACCGGATATGTCATTAATGCCTCATATTTTAGGAATTCCTTTGCATCCACTCCTCGCAAACATTGCAACCAATGTTCAGATGAATTGCATTTCAGTTGTTCCGCCAAATGTTGGCCATTGAGTATGGCTTCGGTAGTGTTGATCACATCCCTCTCCTTGTAGTACATATGAGACCCGCTCTCCATAATAGCCCTCTTGAATAGGCCTTTAGATAGTGGAGAGACTATATGTGCGGACACCGACCAACTGCCGGCGCTCTGACCAAATATAGTGATCTGATCCCTATCCCCACCAAATAAATGTATGTTTTCTCTGACCTATAATTAATTATATCCTCAATTTATACTTTTTTGTAAATAACCTTGATTATAACTTTTTAAATACCCATTTAAGTGCCAATAACTGGTCATAAAAGCCCACATTTCCGGGCGCCGTCTCATCGCCACCATATATAAAGCCAAACGGACCTAATCTATAGTTAGGGGCCACGAGTAGGACATCATGTGTGGCCAAAACACTGCCATTATAGTCGTGAAAGAAAATGGACCCCGAAGTCAAACCCCCGCCATATATCCAAAACATGACTGGTTTTAATGGTGAGTCTTTCGATGGGATATTGTTTCCCACAATAGGTGTCCATATGTTTAGTACCAAACAGTCCTCACTTGTGGTCCCATTTCCCCACAACTCGTGGGCGTCTTCGGGCGGTATTTGCATACATGAGTTGCCGGGTTGTGTGGCATCTATAATGTCCTGGTACCAATTTTAATATTATTTCACATGAATATTTTATCAATATTGATAAGACTTACATTTAATGGCTTTTCTATGGGAACTGGTTTTGCAAACCTTAGGTCACCCACCGGTGGTTCGGCATAAGGTATGCCAAGAAACTCGTAAATACTTGTGTTCAACACATTTATAGCCTGTCCTCTAACTACCCCTGATGTAGTGCTCACATTAATACTATGTCCATAATTTATATTAATTAAGAAAATGTATAAAATATTAGTAAAAATGAAAATTAACATTATCAAAAAAATAAAATTTAAAACTTAATCAAAAAATTAAACAACTTACCTTTTATATTGTTTATATTTGTATTGATCTGTCAATCAGTTGAAAGTTTGTAAAGACCGGTACTTTTTCAAGTTTTATCACATATTGCGTACAAGTGTTGTCTATAGATATTACACAATAGATCTTGACTTTTGGATTCATAGAAGTGATAACAATGGGTACCATAAAAGTATTAGTGATCCATCAAGGACAGTCTATTATGAGTCCAATAAGTGCTTTCGAGTGTAATTATATCAATGAACACAAAAAAGTTTCCACAATTTTTAAAATAGACATACAGTACTGTATTGAATATTTCTATGTATTTAATGATAAAAGTTTATTTTAAGATTACTTTTACAATACAATACAATATTAGGTTTTTAATACAAATTTCATAAGAAATAGACGCAAGCATAAAATACAGGTTATGCAGAAATACTTTGTTTAAAATCCAATATTTAAGTTCAAGGTGTTTACACATTTGCTAAGGGTCTGCTTTTAAAAATTACATAAGTCTATTTAAAGTTTCATAATACAATAATAATAACAAACATTTTGTAATTTACAATAGTTAATCTTAGGAATTATGTTCATGTTATTTTTATAAAATGTTATTCAAATACAGAAACTTATTATAATAATTGCATTACCAAATCAAATCTATTAATTAAAATGAAAAATACATAGTAAATATTTAAAATTATGTTTTCTGTTTACTTAAATAAAGTAAACTATTTGTTTGCTGTTTGAAGTAGAATAACAGTGTAGTTCAGAATAAATATAAAAACCTGTCAAATAAATCAATATCTAATTAAAATAATTAAAACACATTTTAGATTTGACCCTACTCACAGAAATAAGCGTGGATTTATTAAATCTAGCAAATCCCCCGATTGTAAACCCAAATGCGTGGGAATTCCGTACGATATTCCCAATCATCTGCCATTCCCTATACTCCATGTCCGACAATTCATTGGAATTCATAGCATACAAGGCATCACTTATCTTGATAATATTTCCTTCAACTTTACCGCATATTAGGCACGAGATAACCATTTCCCCAATACACGAGCCACAACCCACTGCCCACACCATAATCAGAGTCATCATTAAGCCGTGTAAATAGGTGTTCAGGGCACTTCCCACGTAGATTTGAAACATTACCGAGAATATTGTGTTTATGGTATTCAAACAAAACACGTATTTTAAACTTTCATCCAATTTAGCGATTATGTCATGGATTTGCAGCAATTGTTTCTTAGTTTCCATTAATGTTATTAAAGTCACTCTCTTTAGGAATATTCTCTCGATTTCTGAGAGAGAGAGAGAGAGAGAAAGGAGAGAGAGAGAGAGAGAGAGAGAGAATTTTGAAATTATTGATTAATGTTTCAATTTATAAGCATAGTGTTACCTGGATATTGTTCCTGACAATTAATAAGGTTGGATCTCATTGAATCAAGCACATCAGCGCAAGTAATAGCTACTATCCAGATAATTGCCGGCAATGTCCAGGAAAATATGACTTGTAAATAGATATGACCAAACACAATCACAAAAATGCCAAAAAACTGACTAATTGCTGAAGTAGACAGACTGACACAAAAACACATAACACTCAACACAAAATGTACCAGCCACAAAATCAAAACAAACGCATAGTTTTTAAAATTAAATCTTCTATACTTTCTTGCCATGTTATAAATTGTCTTAAGATCACTGATCAGGGCAAACCCTTTAGCGCTGTTTGTGTACAGCATTGCCGCTGTTTTATACATACATGTAATCATTTTCATGACAATAATAGTCATCAAAATTGATGCTAGCTTATTTTGGGAGCCATTAGGTGCCCGCAATAACTTTGACTCAGTCCTAATAAATGCATTTAAAAGGAGAGCATCGCCTACAAACGAACCTATTACTATAATATAGCCGTAGATTTTAAATATGACCCTGGTGCTTAACCGTCCGGTTTTGTCAAAAGTTAGGCCACCAAATGATAAACCATTTATACGATGACACCATAGCATTATAGTAATAAAAATGGACCAAAATGACATGTTAGTAAAAGTTAATAAATATTTATTACTTATTATTTAGTAACTAGTAAAACAAAAATGAAATTCTCAAAATTTTGAATATTACAACATATATAGATCAACTAGACAAATTTACATTTATTATAAAAATTCAGGTCATGTGAAGCAAAAGTAAATCTGTATTTGCATGTTCAAATTATTGACATAATAATGTTAATGTGCTTACACAACATTAGAGTAAATAAATTTTTAATAAATTAAAAGTAAACTTACAAAGTTAAGTTAATACAGAATAAGCGGTTTTTATAATTAGATTACAAAATAAATATTGAAACATGTCAATTATAATTTATTTAATAATAATGATAAAATTATAAATTTTAATTAAAAATAAGAGTATTTTCTAAGCTTTGGCTGCAGAATAAACATAAACCCGGATCATTTGGATAATGAGGTACAATTTGTTTCCAAAAAATACATTTAATAAAGTTATAACTTTTTAGTACAGTCATACAGTGTAACCAAGCACAAAAAAATTAAACACAAAATTATTTTGAATGATTTTATTCAACAAATAAAAATTTAAAAAAATAAAACTTTAAATACACCCGAAAGACATGTCTAACAGTAGGGATAGACTAATTTGATTGACTTCTCTGACGACCCACAAAATGTGAGACTCCCAGCCCTCCCACCAACATATTCTCGTCCACAATGTTTATTAGACACAACACTCCCTCCACATGTCTACTGTACCACTACTTGAACACCAATATGTTGGCCCTCCTATCACAGGCCCACCAATTCAGCAAAGTCTTAGTGATACGAGAATCAGGTCTCCCTGGCCATCAGCCCCACATACAGATACACCAAAGCCTAGTCCACCACTTTATCCAACACTTCCGAGACCGAGATCTGCCACTTATGATACATCAAGCTATGTATGGCCTGAATTCATACCACCCGACCAGACTAGCCCTCAACACTACACACCCGTACCGCACACCTCCCAACTTATGCCGCCCACAGGTGTAGCCTTTGTGATGCCTCACATACAACTGGCCGACTATTATAGTGAAGCACCGGAAGTCTACCACTTGTCGCCAGTATTGGACACGACGGGGGAACTGGAGGTGAGTAGTGATGAGGAGGCAATGCCTGGTCGTATGATAGGTCCCGAACACCCGGACTATTTGTCTGAGAAAACCAAAAGGGATTTATCGAAACTTAGGAAAAAAGGGTTTGACATTAGGCTCAGTAATGAACTCGGGAGGGGAAAGGGAGGTGTTGTCTATGTGGGGAATTACACTCAAAATGTGAATGATATGTCCGCACAGGAGGCTCACTATATCGGCGCCGAGACTCCAGGCGCTCAGTTCGCCGCCAAATACGTTGAGCTTAAACACGACGCGCCTATCATTGAGCGCCTGTATTACGAAATGGAGAAACAGGTGATGGTCTATTTTCTATTTTGGATGAGATTTTGTCGGTCGCGAGGGTTAACCATAACAATGAAGGCGTGAGCCTTTAAGAGATGTGGGATTTGGTGCGGGAGTTGAGGACTGGGAGTTGAGGACTGGGAGTTGAGGACTGGGAGTTGAGGACTGGGAGTTGCACTAATTTTGTACTATTTATCAATTACTGTATAGTGATTACTAATACTGATTAGTGAGAGCACCTGTATTATAATTATTGTGAAACTTATTATAATTTAATAAAATTATAACTGAAAGTTATGTGATAAGCTACAAGTGCATTGTATATTTTTTGGTACAATGTGTAAAAATTGGTGTAAATTGTTATTTGAGCATTTCATAAAATTATCATAACCAAGATTAAGTAATGGTTTTCGATTTCTATATAAACATAATTTTAAAACTGAATTTTTATTTTATATCCAATTAGAATTTTAAAAATTATTTATTTTTAACAATAATTTTGTATTTAATATGAACATTGCTAATTTGAAAATTGTGTTAATTTTTCAATTAATAGTATGCATTGAATGGAGTGTTTGTATAGAAGTGAACACCACTTCAGGTGTGGTAAGGGGTCTGACAGTGGATGTCATGAATGAGACTATCCATCAGTTTCTGAGTATCCCTTTCGCCGAACCCCCGGTTGGGAGGCTTAGGTTCGCTAAACCAGAGCCAATCAAAACACCCGCAAAAGTATCATTACATTCAATAAATTTAAAAATTATTATAATCTTGAATATAATTATTTACTTCAGGATATGATTGATGCGACAAAACCTAAGAACTCTTGTATGCAATACTCAACCGACGAAACCAAACGAATGTTTGGAAATTTAACGCTAAGTGAGGACTGTTTGGTACTAAACATATGGACAGGAAATGTGGGAAACAATAGCCGATTAAAACAAATACCACTCAAACCTGTGATGATTTACATCCACGGCGGGGGCTTGACTTTGGGCACAAGCTTTACAAACAATGGCAGTTCACTGGCAGCTCATGATGTGGTGGTCGTCACCACAAACTATAGGCTCGGAGTCTTTGGCTTTTTATATGGTTTTACATCCACGGCGGGGGCTTGACTTTGGGCACAAGCTTTACAAACAATGGCAGTTCACTGGCAGCTCATGATGTGGTGGTCGTCACCACAAACTATAGGCTCGGAGTCTTTGGCTTTTTATATGGTGGGGAAGACACAGCCCCCGGAAATGTAGCCTTTTTTGATCAACAAATGGCACTCATATGGGTTAGTGTTATGTATTATTTTGGTAGTCATTAATTTTATTATAAATAATATACTGATTAATAATTTGGCTATAGGTGAGAGACAATATCCATGCATTTGGTGGGGATAGGGATCAGATTACTATATTTGGTGAGAGCGCCGGTAGTGTGTCCGTATCGACACACATTCTCTCTCCCGAATCAAAGGGCTTATTCAAGAGGGCTATTATGGAAAGCGGGGCCCTTATGTTCAATAGGGACAGACCTCCTGTCGGTAGCGATGAGGGACTACTTAACGCTAAAAAATTTGCTAAAGTTTTGAATTGTACTGAAAGTAACCCGAAATGGTTGGACTGCCTCAGGGGTGTCAGTGCACAGGCACTCATAGATGTAAACCCAGGTTATACTGTTGAGAATCCAGTATTTGGTACTGAGTTTTTACCTTTTTGAATTGTACTGAAAGTAACCCGAAATGGTTGGACTGCCTCAGGGGTGTCAGTGCACAGGCACTCATAGATGTAAACCCAGGTTATACTGTTCTCTTAGGTCATAAACCATGACTCAAAAATGGGGAATTATGTGCGGTCCGGAAACTATCGATAGTAATATTATCTCCATAGATATCAAAGTATTATTTATATAAAAATTTTCAATAAATATTTATTATATCACTTCAGACATCGATGTGATGGCTGGCCTCACCCAAAACGAGGGCCCATGGATTGCATTATTTTTCTATAACCAGACTCATGATCCACACTTTGACCTGGACACATTAAAAGCATTGGTCACTATGCTTAGTGAGACTTTTCATAACATAAATGTGGACAAAGTGTTAGAGTATTACACCAAAAATATAGACATCAAAAACCCGGATGCCTTGAAAAAAGCATTTTTTGAATTTAATGGCGACATACAGATTAAATGTCCGACCTATCACTTCATCAAACAATTTGCGAAGGGTTTGAATACCAGTGCCGGGGACGGGAATGGTGTCTATTTGTATGAATGGACTTATCAGAGTATGAACTTTGAAAAATCGTCGGGTTGTCGGAGTAGTGTTGAAGGTATCTGTCATATGGCGGAACTGGAGTTTGTTTTTGGGGATTACGTGAGAGCACCGACACCTCTCACTACAAAACTGGACATTGAGTTTAGTTTGGAAACTATAAAAATATGGACTGATTTTGCAAAATACGGGTAAACTTTCTTAACATTTATTTAATAAATCTCAAAATAATTAATGATTTTTATGATGCATTCAATGCTTAGTACTCCAAATGCAAGCACTTTGTGGCCTAAAGTAACGATTGATAGACAGACGGATAGTTTGGCAAATGTTAAGGACATGAATCCTAATAATATGACAACCATTTTGATGAATCCATTTGAGAATCCGTGTGATCGGTTTTGGAAACAATATTTCTAATTTAATTTAATTTTTGTTAAATTTATAAAATTATTACTTCTTAAAGTTTTAATAAAATGTCATTATGAATGTAGAGCAACATTAACAAAATTTTTGATCTGTAGCGCATAAATGTTAATCAATGCTGTAGAGTGTGCATAATTATTTGTTACAAAATAGGGCGTTTTTTAATCACAACTGTATTGTGTAAATAATTTATCGTCTTACAATACGTAGTCAATTGAATTTACGGTCTTATAATCGGGTTCAAGTTCAAAGTACCAGCCTCATTTTTGGGAAGTGATACTGGAATGATAGTAAAATTAATTTATTAAATACAGGTAATTTTTATTTTTAATAATCATATTGGTTCTATTTTAACGATTATAATTTGTCCAACACTTATTGCTATTACTATACAAGTATCAAATACAAATTAGATACAAATAATGCATACAATATGATTAAAGAGTTCTCATAAGTGGTAAGTACCGTAAAGTTTAAAATTACATAAACCTCATATATTAATTTAAAGCATACTGTTTAATTGTGTATTATTCAAACATTTTATTTAAATAATTAATTAAGAATAGGATAATTGTATTGCAATATTGACTGCAGTGTTAACACAATTGAATCATACAAACAAATTTGTAACACATTTGTGAACATTATATAACAATAGGTCTGTCATTGCACTCAATGCTATTATTATTGAATTATGTGTCCGTCCGGTCGCGCCGTTAGTTACAGATGTTGGGGTACCGGATGTCGTTCCCACCGCTACCGACTTACTTGAACTCAAATTATAAGCGTCTGTAGACACCCAGTCCTTTTTGTGGTGCAATAAATCTCCTAAATAATTCAATTAACATGCTGTCAATATTTAAATTAAACTAATTGTTATCTCGTACCTTTACTATTAACGGGTCCATAAGCTAACATAACATAATAGCTATTCTTGGTCAAATCAAACTCCAGGTCATTTACGCGGGTTTGTATGGCTCGGATCCACTCGCAACTCAACATATCATCCGAATAACTGGTCTTAACCTCAGAGATACCATCCATTTGTACGGTATTTACACCGAACTCCTTCCCACCAAATGTGAGCCCCTGGCGCTCAACAGGCGCTCCGTTATCCCTATTTAGTATACATTCGGTGACCGAGTCGTTGCCCATCATATTGTCAGCGGACAGACCGGTGGCCACGTATTGGCTCTGTATTCCGGCATTCAGGTGCCAATTGACAGCAAATTTGGTGCCCTTTTCTGACGGCCATACCTTCAAAAGGACTGTACAATTGGTTTGCCGGATACAGTCAGACTCAGGCATCCCGAAGCACAGGTAGCTATGCCCGCACCCGCTATAGTCGTGGTTGTGGGCCTGGTATGTAAATATTTGCACAGATAAGACACTAAAAATAAATATAATTTTTAGCATTTTTAGTAGGATTTTTTTAGTTTAATAAATATTTTTATATAATTATAAAAACTCAATGAATAGTTTTGTAGAAATATATGAATCATTTGAAATATGATGACAAAACACTTGTTCACTACAATCAGCCTCCAGTACAAGTAACAGGTATTTTAAAATAGGATTTTGAAATAAAAATTTATTTATTTATTTTGTATTTAAAATCATGTTTTAAAGGTATTTTATGTGTCATACTGTATGTGTGGTTATATTTTATCTAATGACGAGTAAATAAACTTTTAATTAGTTTTGTTAACGAAAATTACTGACTTTTACATATGATTTATAAATTGTCAAACAACATGTACCAGAATTATATTTATTCATGTGTTTTATAGTGAAATTGCATAATTATACTCTACATCTACATTGAACAAGGTCATAAAGAATTCAACGTAATTTTATACAATTAAACATATAAACATATTTTATAAACATAAACATATTAAGTAATTTTAAACTATTACGTAAATGGTACACTGAATAAATAGTTTTTATTAAAGTTTATTGATAAATACAATGTTTTACTAAGACAAATTTATTTTTATTGAATAATATTTTTAGATATTTTTTATGATTTTGTTTTTTAAATGAACAGACTTTTGATGTCTATTTAATTCCCTTTTAGTAACAAAACTTTTATGACAATCAGTATAATTGCATTTATGGAGTTTAATATTCATTTTAAAACTGATTTGTATTTAAAACATTTGTTTCGATTGGGAAAATAACAGATAAATTGTTATTCACACGAATGCATACGTTTATGGGAAATAAACCGTGATTTTTGAGCATTACTTTCCCTACAGTTTTCTTCATTACATTTCAATATATTTTCGTCCAAATGAACACATTTTTTATGAAGAAATAAAAGCTCTTTTCGGGTTAACCCCTTTTGCGATTACTTATATTTTAAATTATTTTTTAGCCATTTTTTATATTGTAACTTTTAATAAACATTTAATTATCAGACAAATCATATGTTTACCACAAGATTTTATAATGCATTGCTGAAAATCCAAGTTAAATAACTTATTAATATTCAGGCTTTTAACTTAGTAGCAAATTGCTTTTTCGCAAAATAGATATTGATAATTCTGATAATACAATATTTTTCTACATAATATTACTAACAATTTACAATAATAAAAGTAACCGAATGGCCACTATTAGTATTTTATATTTAAAAATTATTAGCATCGGACATAAGAATTTGCTTATATTTTAACATTATATGCATACAAGTTAATCGCTGTGATTATGAGTTGAAAAGTTAATAAAGTGTAAGTCATAACATAACGTAAAAATATATGCAAATTCTTATGTCCGATGCTATTCATTGTTAAATATAAAATACTAATAGTGGCCATTCGGTTACTTTTATTATTGCAAATTGTTAGTAATTTTATGTAGAAAAATACTGTATTATCAGAATTATCAATATCTATTTGATAAAATGAGAGTAATGCGTTGTGATAATAAAATTATTTGTTAGCATTTAAAAAGTTATAAAAAACTTAATCGATATGTTGCGAAACTGTGAACTAAGTAGCAAATTGTTAGTAATATTATGTAGAAAAATACTGTATTATCAGAATTATCAATATCTATTTTGCGAAAAAGCAATTTGCTACTTAGTTCACAGTTTCGCAACATATCGATTAAGTTTTTTATAACTTTTTAAATGCTAACAAATAATTTTATTATCACAACGCATTGCACAGGTACATTTACATTTTACAAAAAAAAGTAAAATTATGGATAATTAATTAAAAATATTTCCGAATCTGAACATAACAAACAAGTCTGAAATTTGCATGTTTTTAAAAGTAACAATTACATTTATCATTTACATTGGAATTTTCTCATTGGAAATAACTGCTCCAAAACTGATCGCAAGTCTTGTGGTAAATATTCTTGAGATACCGATCCCTTTGAGCTGGATTCAAGTCTTTAATAATGGACTCATTATACTTACTGCCAATAAGCCTGGGCCATTTAGGTTCGGGTACTCTACAAGAAAACCCATATATAAAATCTATTCACACTATTTATAACGTGTAATACAAACCCAGTTTTAGCGAAATCAGTCCACAATTTGGTCGCATATCCCGCGAAATCAACGTCTTCTTGGCTATAAGTATCCGGATATATGAGGGGTAACCCAAACGCAAACTCCACTTCAGATCCGTGACAAATACCCATATGTGAGTCAACACACCCCCATTTGGGGGAGTTTTGGCTCATATAAGTGAGTTCAAAGAAATACACGTTGCGTTGGGGGGAATGTATGGCATAATTCTTGGCAAATAGATAGGTCGGACACTTGATAGTCAGGTCCTCGAAGAGGTTATAAAAGGCTACTCGAAGTGCATCGGAACTACTTGTGTCCACGTTTTGCAAATAAAATCTTGTCACAGACTGATAGTCAATATCCTTATAGCCCTGGGTAAAATTCTTGACCAACTCAGTGAACAAGTCTTGAGTTAAGTTACCCAACAGGGCTGGTATGGCAATAGCAACCGAGTCGGCGCCATCACCTTGTGTTACCCCCGCCATTATGTCCACATCTGATTCATTGATAATATTATATTTAATTTTACAAAAATATTAAGAATGGGAGAGAGAGAGAGAGAGAGAGAGCCTACCGGTGCTATAATCATGTCCCTTAAATATATTGATAGGTAATTGTGGCAAGTAGTCAGTCCCCTCATCAAAGTATTTGGTGCTCATTACGCATTCTAACAACTATAGCAAACGCAGGTGAAGAGAGTTTGTCAGGTTGGTAAACGACAGTAAACCTAATGTTAACTGAAAACGCCGGTTAACAAACCGACGGCTATTCCGAAGTCTAAAACAATATACAGCCCTTTTCTTGTTATTCAAAATGGATCCGCTCTCCAGTATAGCCCTCTTAAACAGACCTTTCGCTAAGGGAGACAATACCAGTCCCGACACACCCTTAGTGCCGGCCCCCTCACCAAATATAGTGATCTGATCCCTATCCCCACCGAANTTATTTAAAATGGATCCGCTCTCCAGTATAGCCCTCTTAAACAGACCTTTCGCTAAGGGAGACAATACCAGTCCCGACACACCCTTAGTGCCGGCCCCCTCACCAAATATAGTGATCTGATCCCTATCCCCACCGAATTCATGGATGTTATCTCTTACCTATTATTATAACAATATACTATAATATACGAAACAACAAAATAAATAATCAAACAATTTCAATACCCATTTGAGTGCCAAAAGTTGGTCATGAAAGCCCACATCTCCCGGGGCTGACTCGTCCCCGCCGTATAGGAAGCCAAAGGGTCCTAATCTATAGTTGACGGCCACATACACGATGTCCTGTGCGGCAAACACACTGCCATTATACCAACTAAAGTCGTTGTTCACTGAATTAATTGACCCCCAACTCAGTCCCCCGCCGTATATGAAAAACATTACGGGTTTGAGTGGTGTTCGCATAAATCGGATGTTTTTTGCCACAGTTGGCGACCATATGTTTAGTGTCAAACAGTCCTCGCTGGGTACTGTCCAATTACCCTGTATATAGCTCGTGGCATCAAACATTGGTTGCATACATGATTTACCAATTTTTGTGGTATCGATTATACCCTTTAATGAATATAAATGCGTAAATACTCCAAACAATATATATATATATTATATATATATATTATATATTATATATATATATATATATAATTTAAATATATGATAGTTATAACTCACTTTTGAAGGCCCCTGTATTGGTTGCGGTTTAGCAAACCGTAGACTTCCAACCGGGGGTTTGGCGTAAGGGATACCATAAAACTGATTAACAGTTTTATTGATTACGTTGATTGCCTGTCCCCTCACTATACCCGATGTTGTTGTCACGTCAACAGTGTTGTCAAAACACGGGATATTAGTTAGCAAGCAGATAAATAATTTATAAAATAAATTTTCGACAAACATTTCTGTAATCTATTTCAATAGTTAGTAACTATTTGAATATTAATATTTTATTGGTGTTAACTAAGATAACTACTAAAATTAAATTGTTTAAACTTTTTAATTCTGTAGTTTTATTTATTTTGTAGTTTAAACACATTATTCTGACATTTATATACTTATCCATATCCTATGTGTTTATTTATAAATTACTTTGTTTTTAATGATTGAGCACTTAATTGCAATATATCTTAATTGTACACTGGTACAATTGTAGAAAATGTGTGTTAAATAAATGCACTAACTTTAAATGCAACTCCATTAAAATGTACAATTATAAAATTTTATACAAAGTACAATATATTGATTTAAAAATAGCTTTGTATCATTTATAAAGCCAAACATTTAACATTTGTGTAAATAATGATCAATTACATCAATTGTAGTACAGTAGTAGGAAAATTATAGTAATACTTTGAATTCTTATTACTATATAATACAATTATATTTAATCTATGTAATTTTACTAATAACTATAGAATTTAATTATTTTAATTAGAATTTCAATCACATCTGATGAAAGCTTTCAAACCCCTTACTATAGATTTTTACAGTTAAGCCCTTTATATAATGATTATAATTTCTAAAGGGCTTAACTTTAAAAATCCATAGTAAAGGTTTTTGAAAGCTGAAGGGTAAAAATAAAACCCAAAGTGAAATATTTTATAAAAAAATTTTCACAGAAATTTTCAGCCTTAATCCGTAAACATATAATTATTCATTGTAATATAACCAGTTTATAACTGTATATTATTACATTAAATTAAAGTACATAATATTATTGTGTTCAAGGTTTATAATTAATATACGGAAACTGTATTATTTAAAATCTAAAAATAAATCTTATTATTGCAAAATGTTTTCACATTAATGCAAACAAGTCATTTTAAAAACTATTATTTCACGTTAAATATGCTAGTAAATTCATGTAAGTGATAAGTTTAATATTTAAATGAGTGTAATTCTCAATAATTTTATATTGTAATTATTTATTATATTTTATATTTTGAACTACTCTTATGATGTTATAAAATATATAATAAATATTTTTTAAAAATTGTGCATTAAAATGATTGAACTAATACTATTTACTTTATTAATAATTATTTGGAGTATATTAATTGTTTTGTGTACAATTAGGCATTTATTGCATTTATACAACAATAAGCATGTTTACTATACCGATAATAGCAATAATAATAACAAATGCAATGAATTTCTAAACTGTTTCTCATTAATATATAATTATCAAAAATATATTCGTGTGAATAAACAAAACAAACGTGCAACCGAAATCACCCAGACCAATAATTCTGCGATGGACGGCATACGTGCAGGATTACATATGATGATATTGGTCATACACTTTGGCAGTTTTATCAATTATTACCGCAAGGATAATTTTGATTACTTTGCTAGTTTGGTAGACCATAGAGTTTGGTGAGAATAAAAATGACATGTGTATTAACTTTTAACAAAACGTGATTGTATTATTTATTAACGTCCCATACAATTTGTACAGGTACATATTCTACTATATCGCCAAAACATTAATAGATGTGTCGATTATAATGTGTGGCATAGCGTCCACCAAATGGTTTCTACAAGAAGTTCACAAAAATAGTTCAAAAAGTTTGTGGAGAATATGTTTGCGGTTTTATTTCGACAGAATATTCCGTGTGATTCCCGTATACTATATGTCACTCTATTTCTACATAATTTTTGTCAAATATTTGGTTTCCGATCGCTTTTACGACAAAAAGGTTGAAGAAATATGTTATGAGAAATGGTATCTCAATGTGTTATTTGTGGCCAATTATGTTGGAGGCAATGAAATGGTATTTAATTTTGTTCCTAAATTAACAATAAATAAATTAATTTTTAAACCTTTAGTGTTATACTAGTTCTTGGACATTTAATTTATTAATTCAATTAATAATAATAACACCGCCAATTATCATTATACTTATCAGGTACTGTTTAAAATTCGTACTAAATAAAAATTATGTTTTTTAAAATCATTTTTATGTTTAACAGACACATTAAAATAGGAATCATCTTGATAATCTTTAGCAATATTATGTCAATGTTGTCCACATTTTATATAACCTATTCAAATGGTATAACAACCGAAACGTTTGCTGATAACTTTATTTTTGTAGTTAACACGGTCAATGTGTTTTTGTAAGTTATTACAGACACTTTTCATCTAATCAATTATGGTATCAATTATCTATATTTTATTTCAACAGTGTCAAAAACAGTTCTATGCATTTGGTATACATTACGGCATACCGTTATGTGTCCGTGTATTTCAATGGTTTACTATTAGGTTATTTGATTGAAAAGAAATACACTTTGAAAATATACTCCAATCGGTTAACATTTATCACCATGGCCATATTAAGTACAATTGTATCAATATCTGCGTTAATTATGCTCATGAGAAAGACCCCATACTTTGATGAACTCCCGGTGTTTAGTGCACTGGAAAGTGGATCATCGGGTGTATTTGTGTCAATTATAGCATGCTATTTAATCATTTGTATTATTGATGGCACTGGTATCTTAAAATACTTTAACATATTTTTATCTTCAAAATATTGGCGCCCATTACGTGCAATACAGCAAACCTCATATGCTTTTCATCTGATTTTTCTCTTATACTTATTGCAAATATTTCCAGAAATTCAGCTTAAATTACAAACAATACCTCTTATAATGGTTTACGTGTTTGTATTTATTTGTCTCAATATGATTGTAATGATTCCGTTGGCTATGATGTTTGAGTTACCAATTAGTTGTTTACAACAATTGCTGTCAAAATACATATTTGAATCAAAACATAAAACTATTTATATAGACAAAGCGATTGACCCAAACAATGAATTGCAAACTATTAATGCAACAAAAGCACCAGTGTCATTGACTTAATATATCTAAATTTATGATTGAACACATTTACTTTTATATTTTTTATTAACAAATTAATTAAATAGATTTAATTTAATTAGAATTTTTGTTTAAAATACTGAATGACTAAACATATAACCGGTTTATAACTGTATACAGTAGATTAAAATACATATTGTTTTCAAGGTTTACAAGTAATATACAGGTATAATATTTAATATTTAAAATAATCGTATTATTGCACAATGCTTCACATTAATGCAAACTAGTTATGCTACTTTTAAGATATCTCTTAAGTTTATACGATAGGGCATCATTGTGGAAAGTATAGATAGTCGATATCGATACCTTTAGCAAGTAGTATATGATTGAAAAGCACAGGCATCGATTAATATCGACTATCCCAATGAGCGCCTATCGTATAAACTTAAGAGATATTAAGTTAATTCACGCTAAATATGCTAAAATACCAAATTTCTCAAAAATAGTATTCACTCGAGCGATAAGTTTAATAATTAAATGTTTATTATTATAAAAGGGAATTCCTATTATTATAATTCTCAGTAATTATATATTGAAATTATTGATTAGATTTTATATTTTGAACAAACTTTATCTCATTGTAACGAATAATAAATATTAAAATAAATTGTGCATTAAACATGATTGAATTAATAATATTTACTTTATTAATAATTATTTGGAGTATACTAATAATTTTTGCCACAATTAGACATTTGTTGCAATTATACAACAAAAAGCATGTTTATTATACAGATAATAGCAATAATAACAATAAGTTTAGTGAAGTTTTAAACTGTTTCTCATTAATAGATAATTATCAGAAATATATTCGGGTAAATAAACATGCTAACAAAATGACTCAGACCAATAATTCAGTGATGGACGGCATACGTGTTGGACTACACTTAATAATAATAGCAACACATTTTGCCAGTGGTATTAGTTATTACCGTAAAGACAATTTTGATCTAGTTGCTAGTTTGGTAGACCATAGACTTTGGTGAGCAACCTTTGTTACATTAATGTAATATTATATTACTTATATTTGTTTTGAATGACAGGTATCTCATGTACTATTACTTTAAATCAGTAATAGATGTGACAATTATAATGAGTGGCATTGGATCCGCCAAATGGTTTATACGGGAAATGAATAAAAGTCTCGATAAGAGTTCACTTGTAATTAGTTTGCTATAACAAAATCTGAAGCCTTATCGGCAGCCAAACAATTGGCCGCAAAAGTCAATTGTAATCCAAATGACAGCAAATGGTTGGACTGTTTGAGAGAAGTGGACGCATTGCTATAGTTGTTAGAATGCGGATACTCGTGGTTTATGAAACTACTCCTCTGACTGATAAATGGTGTTGATGGATAGTTATATAAATTCCCTGTACTAATATCATGGCCATCCGAGATAGAGCGAGTCTCTCTCTCTCTCTCTCTCTCTCTCTCTCTCGCTCTCTCCCATTCTCAATATTTTTGTAAAATTAAATATATTATTATCAATGAATCAGATGTAGACATAATGGCGGGGGTAACACAAGGTGATGGCGCGGACTCGGTTGCTATTGCAATACCAGCCCTGTTGGGTAACTTAACTCAAGACTTGTTCACTGCGTTGGTCAAGAATTTTACCCAGGGCTATAAGGATATTGACTATCAGTCTGTGTCAAGATTTTATTTGCAAAACGTGGACACAAGTAGTTCCGATGCACTTCGAGTAGCCTTTTATAACCTCTTCGAGGACCTGACTATCAAGTGTCCGACCTATCTATTCGCCAAGAATTATGCCATACATTCCCCCAAACGCAACGTGTATTTCTTTGAACTCACTTATATGAGCCAAAACTCCCTCAAATGGGGGTGTGTTGACCCACATATGGGTATTTGTCACGGATCTGAAGTGGAGTTTGGCAAACCCAATGGGGAGTATATAGGCCTGTGAATATCGGTTCTTCTGCAACTAAAGCGCCCTATACGGTGGTTTAACACCTGACTAAAGCAATTTTGACCCAAACATAATGTGCAATATTTATCACAGAATTGGTTTTATATATGGGTTTTCTTGTAGAGTACCCGAACCTAAATGGCCCAGGCTTATTGGCAGTAAGTATAATGAGTCCATTATTAAAGACTTGAATCCAACTCAAAGGGATCGGTATCTCAAGAATATTTACCACAAGACTTGCGATCAGTTTTGGAGCAGTTATTTCCAATGAGAAAATTAGCAATCAGCTTTGTTAATGATAAATGTAATTGTTACTTTTAAAAACATGCAAATTTCAGACTTTAATGTTTGTTATGTTCAGATTCAGAAATATTTTTAATTAATTATCCATAATTTTACTTTTTTTGTAAAATGTAAATGTACCTGTGCAATGTGTTGTGATAATAAAATTATTTGTTAGCATTTAAAAAGTTATAAAAAAAACTTAATCGATATGTTGCAAAACTGTGAACTAAGTTAAAAGCCTGGATATTAATAAGTTATTTAACTTGGATTTTCAGCAATGCATTATAAAATCTTGTGGTAAACATATGAATTGTCTGTTAATTAAATGTTTATTAAAAGTTACAATATAAAAAATGACTAAAAAATAATTTAAAAAATAAGTAATCCCAAAAAGGTTAACCCGAAAAGAGCTTTTATTTCTTCATAAAAAATGTGTTCATTTGGACGAAAATATATTCAAATGTAATGAAGAAAACTGTAGGGAAAGTAATGCTCAAAAATCACGGTTTATTTCCCATAAACGTATGCATTCGTGTGAATAACAATTTATCTGTTATTTTCCCAATTGAAACAAAAGTTTTAAATACAAATCAGTTTTTAAAAAGCACATGAATATACTGCAATTATACTGATAGTATTCAAAGTTTTGTTACTAAAAGGGAATTAAATAGACATCAAAAGTCTGTTCATTTAAAAAACAAAATAATAAAAAATATCTAAAAATATGATTTAATAAAAATAATTTTGTACTGGCGTGTCGTAGTAAAACATTGTATTTATCAATAAACTTTAAAAACTATTTATTCAGTGTACCATTTCCGTAATAGTTTAAAATTATTTAATATGTTTATAAAATATGTTTATATGTTTAATTGTATAAAATTACGTTGAATTCTTTATGACCTTGTTCAATGTAGATGTAGAATATAATTATGCAATTTCACTATAAAATAAAACACATGAATAAATATAATTCTGGTACATTTTGTTTGACAATTTATAAATCATATGTAAAAAGTGAATAATTTTCGTTAACAAAACTAATTAAAAGTTTATTTACTCGTTATACGATCAAAAAAATTGACAGCACACAAAATACCTTAAAAACATTATTTTAAATACAATAATAAATAAATGAATTTTAATTTCAAAATCATATTTTTAAATACCTGTTACTAGTACTGGAGGCTGATTGTAGTGAACAAGTGTTTTGTCATCATATTTCAAATGTTTCATATATTTCTACAAAACTATTCATTGAGTTTTCATACATTATATAAAAATATTTATTAAACTAAAAAATTCTACTAAAAATGCTAAAAATTATATTTATTTTTAGTGTCTTATCTGTGCAAATATTTACATACCAGGCCCACCACCACGACTATAGCGGGTGCGGTCATAGCTACCTGTGCTTCGGGATGCCTGAGTCTGACTGTATCCGGCAAACTAATTGTACAGTCCTTTTGAAGGTATGGCCGTCAGAAATGGGCACCAAATTTGCTGTCAATTGGCACCTGAATGCCGGAATACAGAGCCAATACGTGGCCACCGGTCTGTCCGTTGACAATATGATGGGCAACGACTCGGTCACCGAATGTATACTAAATAGGGATAACGGAGCGCCTGTTGAGCGCCAGGGGCTCACATTTGGTGGCGAGGAGTTCGGTGTAAATACCGTACAAATGGATGGTATCTCTGAGGTTAAGACCAGTTATTCGGATGATATGTTGAGTTGCGAGTGGACCCGAGCCATACAAACCCACGTAAATGACCTGGAGTTTGATTTGACCAAGAATAGTTTTTATGTTATGTTAACTTATGGACCCGTTAATAGTAAAGGTACGAGATAAGAATTATTTGAATTTAAATATTGACAGCATGTTAATTGAATTATTTAGGAGATTTATTGCACCACAAAAAGGACTGGGTGTCTACAGAAGCTTATAATTTGAGTTCAAGTAAGTCGGTAGCGGTGGGAACGACATCCGGTACCCAGACATCTGTAACTAACGGCGCGACCGGACGGACACATAATTCAATAATAATAGCATTGAGTGCAATGACAGACCTGTTGTTATATAATGTTTACAAATGCGTTACGAATTTGTTTGTATGATTCAATTGTGTTAACAGTGCAGTCAATATCACAATACAATTATCCAATTCTTGTTAATTAATTATTTAAATAAAATGTTTGTATATGCACAATTTTGTAACAAATAATTATGCACACTCTACAGCATTGATTAACATTCATGGGCTACAGTCATAATAACATTTTATAACGTAATAATTTTATAAATTTAACAAAAATTTTATTTAATTAAAAATATTGTTTCCAAAACAGATCACACGGATTCTCAAATGGATTCATCAATATGTTTGTCATGTTATTAGGATTCATGTCCTTAACATTTGCCAAACTATCCGTCTGTCTATCAATCGTTACTTTAGGCCACAAAGTGCTTGCATTTGGAGTACTAAGCATTCAATGCATCATAAAAATCATTAATTATTTTGAGATTTATTAAATAAATGTTAACAAAGTTTACCCGTATTTTGCAAAATCAGTCCATATTTTTATAGTTTCCAAACTAAACTCAATGTCCAGTTTTGTAGTGAGGGGTGTCGGTGCTCTCACGTAATCCCCAAAAACAAACTCCAGTTCCGCCATATGACAGATACCTTCAACACTGCTCCGACAACCCGACGACTTTTCAAAGTTCATACTCTGATACGTCCATTCATACAAATAGACACCATTCCCATCATCGGCACTGGTATTCAAACCCTTCGCAAATTGTTTGATGAAGTGATAGGTCGGACATTTAATCTGTATGTCGCCATCAAATTCAAAAAATGCTTTTTTCAAGGCATCCGGGTTTTTGGTGTCTATATTTTTGGTGTAATACTCCAACACTTTGTCCACATTTATGTTATGAAAAGTCTCACTAAGCATAGTGACCAATGCTTTTAATGTATCCAGGTCAAAGTGTGGATCATGAGTCTGGTTATAGAAAAATAATGCAACCCATGGGCCCTCGTTTTGAGTGAGGCCAGCCATCACATCGATGTCTGAAGTAATTATTATTTATAAATAACTTTTAAAAATATATTTATTATGAAACTATAGATACCTCTATTATAATGATAGCTATCAAAGGCCTGGCGTGTATTAAGGGGTAAAAACTCAGTACCAAATACTGGATTCTCNTTATTATGAAACTATAGATACCTCTATTATAATGATAGCTATCAAAGGCCTGGCGTGTATTAAGGGGTAAAAACTCAGTACCAAATACTGGATTCTCAACAGTATAACCTGGGTTTACATCTATGAGTGCCTGTGCACTGACACCCCTGAGGCAGTCCAACCATTTCGGGTTACTTTCAGTACAATTCAAAAGTTTAGCAAATTTTTTAGCGTTAAATAGTCCCTCATCGCTACCGACAGGAGGTCTGTCCCTATTGAACATAAGGGCCCCGCTTTCCATAATAGCCCTCTTGAATAAGCCCTTTGATTGGGGAGAGAGAATGTGTGTCGATACGGACACACTACCGGCGCTCTCACCAAATATAGTAATCTGATCCCTATCCCCACCAAATGCATGGATATTGTCTCTCACCTATAGCCCAATTATTAATCAGTAAAATATTTTTGATAAAATTAATTACTACAAAAATAACACGTAACACTAATTAATACCCATTTGAGTGCCATTTGTTGATCAAAAAGGCCTACATTTCCGGGGGCTGTGTCTTCACCGCCATATAAAAAGCCAAAGACTCCGAGCCTATAGTTTGTGGTGACGACCACCACATCATGAGCTGCCAGTGAACTGCCATTGTTTGTAAAGCTTGTGCCCAAAGTCAAGCCCCCGCCGTGGATGTAAATAAGTTATCAAACAGTTGTTTTTAAAATATTAACTTTGATAAAAATTAATCTTTTTATTTATTTAAGTGCGAACGTAATATGTGACTCACCCCCTTAGTAAAATTACATCAATTAAATATACATTGTATAATTAATAATATAATTGTATAATATAGTAAAAGAATTCAAGTATTACAATAATTTTGCTACTAATACAATAATTGATGTATTTGATCATTATTTACACAAATGTTAAATGTTTGGCTTTATAAATGATACAAAGCTATTTTTAAATCAATATTTTTAAAATCAATATACAGTATTGTACTTTTTATAAAATTTTATAATTGTACATTTTAATGTCGTTGCATTTACAGTTAGTGCATTTATTTAACACACATTTCCTACAATTGTACAAGTGTACAATTAAGATATATTGCAATTAAGTGCTCAATCATTAAAACAAAAGTAATTTATAAATAAACACATAGGATATGGATAAGTATATAAATGCCAAAATAATGTGTTTAAACTACAAAAGAAATTAAACTACAGAATTAGAAAGTTTAAACAATTTAATTTTAGTAGTTATCTTAGTTAACACCAATAAAATATTAATATTAAAATAGTTACTAACTATTGAAATAAATTACAAAAATGTTTTTTGGAAATTTATTTTATAAATTATTTATCTGCCTGTTAACTAATATCCCGTGTTATGACAACACTATTGACGTGAAAACAACATCGGGTGTAGTGAGGGGACAGGCAATCAACGTAATCAATAAAACTGTTAACCAGTTTTATGGTATCCCTTACGCCAAACCCCCGGTTGGAAGTCTACGGTTCGCTAAACCGCAACCAATACAGGGGCCTTCAAAAGTGAGTTATAACTATCATATATTTAAATTATATATATATATATATATATATATATATATATATA